TTGACCCGGATGGATTCTGGCACTCCAACACCATACCTGCAGCAGAGAGAACACGAGCATTAGCAGTCATCAGACAAGAAAGACAAGTACCAGCAAGTGTCCCTTCCAAACCATCACCTGCAGTAGCCGCAGCAGAACAAAGAGTACCACCACCAGCGATCCGAGGACCACCAACCGAAGCAGATCAACTTATACCCATCACACGAGAAGTCTGTCGAAGTCCCGCCACAGTCGTCGCGTTCTTCTCCAACACCGACATATACCACCGTTCGCCCGGCCATCGCGCTCCTGACGACATCTGGCACCAACAACTCGGGCACCCTGCAAACAGTACAATACTGCAAACCATCCAAGCCGAAGTGTTAGAACGCAACGCTCTCCTAACAACGAGCGGCCAAGAACTTCGATGACCACGCGCACGGTGCTTTACGTGCCCCGAAGCCGATCTTCCTCACCAACCTTTCCCATCTCATCACAACCCAAGCGCACCTGCATACGCACCGATGGAAAAAGTCTACAGCGACATTTTGAACATGCCTCGAGAAGACACTGAAGCCGAATTCAACTATGTCATCACGTTTATCGACGCAGCAACAAGATACGTCTGGCACTACAACCTCAAGACACGCGATCAAGCCTTCGACGCCTTCACGACATGGCTACCCATCGCCGAACGAGAATCAGGAACCAAGCTCAAGAGCTTCCAGTCAGACGGTGCACTGGAATACCAGTCACAACGCTTCAGGACCTATCTGGCGGAAAGAGGAATCAGACGCCTGGTGTCTCTGCCCTACGCTCACCTGCAGCAGGGGGTCACAGAACGCATGAACCGGACCTTGCAGACGACGATGCGAAAGTTGCTCCTGGGGATGAGACTGCCCACCACACTGTGGCCAGACGCAATGACACATGCAGTCCACCTGCACAACCTGCTGTCCTCGTCATCGCTTCCCAACAACGCATCACCGCACCTGCAGTGGACACAAAAAAGGGGCAGCACAAAATTACTTCGAGTTTTCGGCTGCATGGTACAGTACAGACCTCACACAGCCCGAGCAGGATGCTTCACTCAACGAGCTCGGTGGGGACTACACCTCGGCATCGCAAAACATTTTCACGCATGGAAAATCCTCGACATACAAGACAAAAATACAGTGGCATCACGTGATGTTACAGTGACGGAAAAAACTGTCCGGATGTTTGGCATTAATTAGGTTTTTTAGGCTTTTCGACCACGGTACATAAAGTCTTAATATTTAAAGGTGGTACGCTTTTGGAGGGGTACATAGTGGATGTGTTCACAGCACTTACGTCCATAGTAGTACACTGCATCTAACTTAGTGCCAAAAGTTATACAAGGGGGTCATCCGGATAGTTTTTTCCCGGGACAAAGCGTAAACTTCCGAACAAGTTTCTAGTACCTAGTACACCGACCCTTGGCCTTGATCACCACCCGCACCCTCCTAGGCATGTTATCTACGAGGTTAGTACAAATCGTTGCAGAGATCTTCTCGCACTCTTCCTGGACCCTCCCTTTTGCATAAGGGGGTGAGCACTTGGAAAACCGCGAGGGATTTGAGTGTCTGCAAGTTTTTTGTGCACGATTTCTGTTTGAATGTTATGTATAAGACTAGCCACACTGAGGTATGACCAAAGATGCCATTAGCCGATTAGTTCCATCTTATCATGGGTCGTTTTCGTCGTACCGCTGTCGGGTAAAACCACGAACAGAGCGGCAAAAAATAGTGTATATGCCATGAAACTGAGGGTGACGTAGCACGGTTGATTATTCATCCTTGCACTATTAGAATCACGCTAGGATCTGCATGTCTCATCACGGTGTAGCATTCGAAGAAGTTGCGACTGTTGTGGAAGAATATCCAAGTTGAGGTCAGGTGAAGAAAAGGGCCACTCCAGTGCTACAAACTGATGCTCTCCAATTCTATTCCAAGCCTATGCGGTACAAATGGCTTGGAGAGCATTAGGGAGCATAAGTATGTTGCACTGGAGTGACCATTTTCTTCACCTGACCTCAACCTGGATATTCTTCCCGAACAGTCGCAACTTCTTCGACTGCTGCACCGTGATGAGACATGCAGATCCTAGCGTGATTCTAATAGTGCAAGGATGAATAATCAACTGTGCTACGTCACGCTCAGTTTCATGGCACATACACTATTTTTTGCCACTCTGTTCGTGGTTTTACCCTACAGCGGTACGACGAAGTCGACCCATGATAAGATGGAACTAATCGGCTGATGGCATCTTTCGTCATACCTCAGTGTGGCTAGTCTCATACATAACATTCAAACAGAAATCGTGCACAAAAAACTTGCAGACACTCAAATCCCTCGCGGTTTTCCAAGTGCTCACCCCCTTATGCAAACGGGAGGGTCCAGGAAGAATGTGAGAGGATCTCTGCTACGGTTTGCACTAACCTCGTAGATAACATGCCTAGGAGGGTGCGGGTGGTGATCAAGGCCAAGGGTCGGTGTACTAGGTACTAGAAACCTGTTCGAAAGTTTACGCTTTGTCCCGGGAAAAAACTGTCCGGATGACCCCCTTGTATAACTTTTGGCACTAAGTTAGATGCAGTGTACTACTATGGACGTAAGTGCTGTGAACACATCCACTATGTACCCCTCCAAAAGCGTACCACCATTAAATATTAAGACTTTATGTACCGTGGTCGAAAAGCCTAAAAAACCTAATTAATGGCAAACATTCGGACAGTTTTTTCCGTCACTGTATCTTCTACGAGCGACTGACGCTGCACATTACCTGGACAACATTGCCAACACACACGACCCCACCGACGGCTTCGCGGGCCTTCGTTCCTTCGCCGACCGTGCTGCCGAGGCTGACTCAGCAGAAGAAGACGTACCTGGAGCCTCGGAAGCTGCCGGACCACTCCCTTTCTATTCCGTACCTGTTCCACTCGACGAAGACAATCCTCTCGATAGTAACAACCTCGACACCTTTTACCACTTCGCTGACCAAGGTTACACTACACCCCACCCGGTCGACACAAATGTTTCAGAACGCATCGGCCCCAACTTCTTACCTGATCCAGAAGACGGTGACGAAGCAGCCTATTGCGGGAATGAAAATTCCCCTCGACACACACCCACGGGACTGCAGATCCTCGGCCTCTGGGTCTCCGTCCAGCATCCACCGCCGCCATCTCCGCGCGAGCTCTGGAAAGGGAACTAAAGGCTCTGCAAGACCGAAATACATGGAAGCTGGTACCTGCAACAAGCATCAACGGGAAGAACGTCCTCTCGGGAAAATGGGTGTACCGCATCAAGACCAACGCGGACGGCTCCATCGAACGATTCAAAGCTCGATGGGTCGTACGAGGCTTCGATCAACGATACGGAACCGACTACACAGAAACTTTTGCCCCAGTCTCCCGTCACACCTCCCTGCGCATCCTACTCGCCGTCGCGGCCACGAAGAAACTACCACTGCGTCAAATCGACGTCGCAAACGCTTTCCTGTACGCACCTGTGGACGCCGAGATCTTCGTCGAGCAGCCCCATGGATTCATCAGCGACCCTACGAAAGTATGCCAGGTGATAAAATCCCTCTACGGGATCAAACAAGCTCCGCGGCTGTGGCAGCAGCATCTTCACGGCCGCCTCGTTAGAATCGGCTTCCTACAGCTGCCGCACGACCAAGGCATGTATCGACTTCAGAAGGAAAAAGCCTTTATCCTTCTCATCGTCTACGTCGACGACCTGCTCTACATCGGCTCCTCTACCGACATCGCCATCTGGTTCGAAGGGGAGCTGAGAAGTGACCTGACACTCACAGTGTCAGACACAGTGACCCAGTACCTGGGACTGAATGTCGTCGAAGACAACTCGGCATTTTACCTACACGCTGGAAAATACGCAGGCGTTGTCGCGAAGAAATTCGGGCTAACGCCGATTACGGTCACGACTCCCCACCGCTACGGGAACAACAGCAACACCTCCGCGAAACTCCCCGCGAAGCAAATCCAGGAGTATCAGCAGAAGCTCGGGTGCCTACTATTCGCAGCAGTAACCTGCCGACCCGACCTATCTTATAGCGCGAGCCAACTGGCGACGCATCTGAAGCAACCGGAACAAGAAGATCTCGAGGAACTTAATCGGGCACTACTCTACTTCATCTCCACGCCGACGACCGGACTTACCTACAGTAAAGAAACGACATCGTCCGTACAACTACTCGGATACGTCGACGCCGACCATGCGGGAGAACCGACGATCGAGAACGGGCTACATCTACCGACTAGAACCTATCGGGACTATCTCCTGGCAGTCGAGCAAGCAGGAACTAATCGCACTATCTTCGGCTGAAGCAGAATATATCGCCCTCTGTACTGCGACCAAGGAAGGACTCTACCTACGAGAGTTGCTTGAGGAAGCGAAGATCGCGACCCTGCCCGTCTTCTCACTCCTCTGCGACAACCAATCTGCGATCAAAATCGCGAACAAGGACGGCTTCGCCAACCGAACCAAACACATTGCCCTGCGGTACTTTTTCGTCAAAGATGAAATCGCGAAGGGGAGACTTCAACTCAGTTACTGCCCTACAACAGAAATGGCCGCAGACTACCTGACGAAGAAACTGGCGAAGGCGAAGTTCGATTACTGCATGCTGCTGACCGGGCAGACAAACGTCACCGGATTTGAACACGTCAGCACTCCAGAAACGAAGGGGAGTGTTGGAAATATCTCAAAGGACTTAAGCGTTTCTGAAGCGTAACACTACACTCGAGGAAGATCGTAACGGGTACACGAGTCAACGGAGGTTGCACGAGGGGATGGACAAAGAACGCGAAAGGACTCAAAGGGTCGCAACTGGAGGTTGCGACTGACCGTTACAACATCGCGGATGGTAACCGAAGCGACAATCGAGTCGCTGTGCGACTCGATAACCGCTCCTGCAACTGTATTCTACAACTGCTTTCTTATTTTCTATATATTGCTGTATGTTTGTTTCTTTAATCAATCACTTGTTCTCATATACTAGTACAAGGGTTCAACTGCCTCAACTTCCGCTGCACTACTCAAGTCTCATTCTACAACCGGGACTTAGTCTCTGGAAAGATCCTAAGGGCTTTTCTCAGCCCAACAAAACTGTTGGGCTGAGAAAAGCCCTTAGGATCTTTTGCAGAGACTAAGTCCCAGCTAGTAGAGACTTGGAGTAGTGCAGCGGAAGTTGAGGCAGTTGAACCCTTGTACTAGTATGTGAGAACAAGTGATTGATTAAAGAAACAAGCATACAGCAATATATAGAAGATAAGAAAGCAGTTGCAGAGTACAGTTACAGGAACGGTTTATCGAGTCGCATAGCGACTCGATTGCCGCTTCGGTTACCATCCGTGATGCTGTAACGGTCAGTCGCAACCTCCAGTTGCGACCTTTCGGGTCTTTTCGCATTCTTTGTCCGCCCCCTCGTGTAACCTCCGTTGACTCGCGTGCTCCCCTGTAGTCTTCCTCGAGTGTAGTGTTACACTTCAGAAACGCTTAAGTTCTTTGAGATATTTCCAACACTCCCCTTCGTTTCTGGAGTGCTGTCATGTTCGGGTCTGGTGACGTTTGTTTGCCCGGTCAGGAGCATGCAGTAGTTGAATTTTGCTTTCGCCAATTTCTTCGTCAGGTAGTCTGCGGCCATTTCTGTCGTCGGGCAGTAACTGAGTTGAAGTCTCCCCTTCGCGATTTCATCCTTGACGAAGAAGTACCGCAGGGCGATGTGCTTGGTTCGGTTGGCGAAGCCGTCCTTGTTTGCGATTTTGATCGCAGATTGGTTGTCGCAGAGGAGTGAGAAGGCGGGCAGGGTCGCAATCTTCGCTTCCTCGAGTAACTCTCGTAGATAGAGTCCTTCCTTGGTCGCAGTACAAAGGGCGATATACTCTGCTTCAGCCGAGGATAGTGCGATTAACTCCTGTTTGCTCGACTGCCAGGAGATAGTTCCGATAGGTTCTAGTCGGTAGATGTAGCCCGTCCTAGACCGTCGATTTTCGCTGTCTCCCACGTGGTCGGCGTCGACGTATCCGAGTAGTCGTACGGACGGTGTTGTGGCCTTGCTGTAGGTGAGCCCGATCGTCGGCGTGGAGACGAAGTAGAGTAGCGCTCGATTGAGTTCCTCGAGATCTTCCTGTTTCGGCTGCTTCAGATGTGTCGCTAACTGACTCGCACTATAGGACAGGTCGGGTCGGCAGGTTACTGATGCGAATAGTAGGCAGCCGAGCTTCTGTTGATACTCCTGGATTTGTTTCGCGGGGAGTTTTGTAGAGGCGCTGCTGTTGTTCCCGTAGCGGTAGGGAGTTGGGACCGCAGTCGGTGTTAGACCGAATTTCTTCGCGACGGTGCTTGAGTACTTTCCAGCGTGTAGGTAGAACGCCGTGTCGTCTTCGACGACGTTCAGTCCTAGGTACTGCGTAACTTCGTCGGACACCGTGAGAGTTAAATCTTCTTTCAGCTCCCCTTCGAACCAGGTGGCGATGTCGGTAGTGGAGCCGATGTAGAGCAGGTCGTCGACGTAGACGATGAGCAGAACATACTCTCTTCCCTTCTGCAGTCGGTACATCCCTTGGTCATGCGGCAGCTGTAGGAAGCCGATTTTTACGAGACGGCTGTGAAGATGCTGCTGCCAGAGCCGCGGGGCTTGCTTGATCCCGTATAGGGATTTTGTCAGTCGGCATATTTTCGTGGGGTCGTCGATGAATCCGTGGGGTTGTTCGACGAAGATCTCAGCGTCCACAGGTGCGTATAGGAAAGCATTCGCGACATCGATTTGGCGTAGTGGTAGTGTTTTTGTGGCTGCGACGGCGAGTAGGATGCGTAATGAGGTGTGACGGGAGACTGGGGCGAAGGTTTCTGTGTAGTCGGTTCCGTATCGTTGATCGAAGCCTCGTACGACCCATCGAGCTTTGAATCGTTCGATGGAGCCGTCTGAGTTGGTCTTGATGCGGTACACCCATTTCCCCGAGAGAACGTTCTTCCCGTTGATGCTCGTTGCAGGTACCAGTTTCCATGTTTCTCGGTCTTGCAGAGCTTTTAACTCCTTTTCCATCGCTTCTTTCCATTTTGCCTTATGTTCCCCCCCCAGAGCCTGCGACAAGGTTGAAGGCTCACGCGTAGAAGGCGGCGGCGGATGCTGGACGGAGACCCAGAGGCCTAGAATCTGGAGTCCCGTGGGTGTGTGTCGAGGGGAATTGTCATTCCCGGAATAAGCTGCTTCGTCACCGTCTTCGGGGTCAGGTAAGAAATTGGGGCCGATGCGTTCCGAAATATTCGTGTCGACGGGGTGAGGTGTAGCGTAACCTTGGTCGGCGAAGTGGTAAAAGGTGTCGAGGTTGTTGCTATCGAGGGGATTATCTTCATCGAGTGGAACAGGTACGGAACAGAATGGGAGTGGCCCGGCAGCTTCCGAGGCTCCAGGTACGTCTTCTTCTGCTGCGTCAGCTTCGGCAGCACGATCGGCGAAGGAACGAAGTCCCGAGAGGCCGTCGGTGGGGTCTTGTGTGTTGGCAAGGTTGTCCAGGTAATGCTGCAGAGTCAGTCGTTCGTAGAAGATAACGTCTCGTGATGCCACCGTGTTTTTGTCTTGTATGTCGAGAATTTTCCACGCGTGAAAATGTTTCGCGATGCCGAGGTGGAGTCCCCACCGAGCTCGTTGTGTGAAGCGTCCTGCTCGGGCTGTGTGGGGTCTGTACTGTACCATGCAGCCAAAGACTCTGAGTAATTTTGTGCTGCCCCTTTTTCTTGTCCACAACAGGTGCGGTGATGCGTTGTTGGGAAGCGATGACGAGGACAGCAGGTTGTGCAGGTGGACTGCATGTGTCATCGCGTCTGGCCACAGTGTGGTTGGCAGTCTCATCCCCTGAAGCAGTTTTCGCATCGTCGTCTGCAAGGTCCGGTTCATGCGTTCTGCTACCCCCTGCTGTTGGTGAGCATAGGGCAGGGACACCAGGCGTCTGATTCCCCTTTCCGCCAGATAGGTCCTGAAGCGTTGTGACTGGTATTCCAGTGCACCGTCTGACTGGAAGCTCTTGAGTTTGAGTCCTGATTCTCGTTCGGCGATGGGGAGCCATGTTGTGAAGGCTTCGAAGGCTTGGTCGCGCGTTTTGAGATTGAAGTGCCAGACATATCTGGTTGCGGCGTCGATGAAAGTGATGACGTAGTTAAAGTCGGCTTCGGCGTCGTCTCGAGGCATGTTTAAAATATCGCTGTAGACTTTTTCCATCGGAGCGTAAGTAGGTGCGCTTGGGTTGTGATGGGATGTAAAAGGTTGATGAGGAAGATCTGCTTCGGGGCATGTGAAGCACCGTGCGCGTGGTCGTCGAAGTTCTTGACCGCTCGTCGTCAGAAGGGCGTTGCGTTCTAACACCTCTGCTTGGATTGTTTGAAGTATTGTGCTGTTTGCAGGGTGTCCGAGGCGTTGGTGCCAGATGTCGTCGGGAGCACGGTGACCGGGCGAGCGGTGGTAGATGTCGGCGTTGGAGAAGAACGCGACGACTGAGGCGGGACTTCGACAAGCTTCTCGTGTGGCGGGCATAAGTTGGTCTGCTTCCGTTGGCGGTCCTCGTGTTGATGGTGGTGGTACTCGGCTGGGTCCTGCTGCCGATGCTGCAGGTGATGGTTTTGTTGGGACACTTGCGGGTACTTGTCTTTCTTGTCTGATAACTGCTAATGCTCGTGTTCTCTCTGCTGCAGGTATGGTGTTGGAGTGCCAGAAGCCGTCACTGTCGAAGTCGGGATCAAGATCCGGCGGGTGAGTCCAGGCGGCGAACGATACGATGCCATCGCTGTCGGCAGTTCCGCGGTCGGGGACGAAGTCCAACACGAAGACACCGGACTTCAGAAGGGCACGACCGATGAAGAGGCCGCCCTTCCCGTGGTAAAGCCGGAACTCGTTGGAGTAAGAGTCGCACTCCAGGTGAATCCCTTTGGCCATTAGTTGGCTTACGCTTAGTAGATTGTATCCCAGGTTGTCGACAATGAGCACTTTGTTGAGCTGCAGTATTACGTTTGTTTCCATGGATTGTAACTGAACCACGCCTTGTCTGTTTGTCTTCAGGTTTTCGTTGTTGGCGACTGTGATGACGACGTCGCGGTTGAGTCGTTTCTCCTGTTGCACAAAGCGTCCCGAGGAGCACATGTGTTGACCGCAGCAGCTGTCCAAGAACCAGGTGTTTCGCCCGGTGGGTTCGGCGTTGGCGACTGCAGCGTATGTCGGGTTGACCTGAAGTCCTTGCGAGCGCGGCGGCGAGAATTCCTCTTCGTCTGGTGCGTAAGTGGGTGGTGAACCGGGTGCGCAGTTGTCGATGTGTACCATGCAGTTGATGATGTTGGGTGTTTGTTGTGCAGATGTTGAAGAGCGCCTTGGAGGACTTGCTTGAGTGGAAGTGACTTGTGGGTCTGCTGCACGGTAAACGCGAGGGCGGTTGCAGTTGACTTTGGAGTGCCCGGAAGTCTGGCAGTTGTGGCAGAACGGCGGTACGATGGTGAGTCCTCGGTTGTCGCGTTGATTTTGCTTGCTGCGTCGGTTGTAGTTGTTGTCATTTCTTCTTTGAGTGTAGAAGACTAACTGCTGTTGCTTCCTTGGTTGTCTTTCTTCGAACAGATCCATCTCCTGTTGTTCAGCGTGAAGCTCGGCGCAGAGGTGCATCTCCGAAATTCTTCCGTGGGCTCGAAGAAGTGATCGTGTGGTTCTCCATTCTGGCCCGAGCCCGGCGAGGACAAGGGTCACGAAGCTTTCTTCAGTGATCGTTCCTCCGCACCGAAGCAGGCGGTCGCGGAGGGTCTGGCAGCGACTCATATACTGCATCGCCTTTTCCCCGGTCTTCATCTGTATTGTTGTCAGTTGTTGCATGAGTCTGCTTTGTGTCACGCTGTCGTTTGCTTGATAGAGGCACTTGAGATGATGCCATGCGAGTTCCGCGGAGTTTCCATAACTTCGATACGTTCTGATGCTCTGCTGCTCTTGTGGTGACAGGTTTCTCAGGAGTACCGTATACGCCAGCAGCGACTGATACGTGAAGATTTCTTGTTCCTTCCCAGTGCCGTTGCTTGGGAATGGCAGGGACCCGTTGAAGTATCCCAGAAGATGCGCGGCCTCCATCAGCAGCTCG